ATATAAATAAAAAAATTTAAAATATAAAAAAAAGTTGCCTTCGGTTGACTCAAAGCTATAATACTCTTCGCAGGTGATTTTTTATATCATAAAAATATCCACCACGATTTTAATCGATCTGTTTGTATAACAGATATACATATACACATGTATATTATAGTCCAATCTGATCAATTTGTATTCGGTCAATAATAAATGCCGATTTTCATGAAGATATCTCGTCAAATTAAAAACTTTTCTATACAAACACTTGATAGCGATTGTTTAGTTTGTATAGTAGCTATATTCTAGAGTAGTCCGATCTCAACAATTTCTGCGGAGACGGTAGAGTTGGCTTCGACAATAATCTGTGCCGGATTTCGTGTAGATATATTGTCAAACAAAAAAGTTTTCCATACAAGGACTTGATTTTGAACGTTGCTTTTGTATGACAGCTATATGCTATAGTTAACCGATCTAAACCATTACTGCGGAGATTGTAGAGTTGGCTTCGATAATAATCTATGCCAAGTTTCGTGAAGATATCTTATCAAATAAAAAAGATTTCCATACAAGGACTTGATTTTGAATRTTCCTTTTGTATGACAGCTATATGCTATGTTGGTCCGATATTGGCGATTCCAATAAATGAGTAACTTCTTGGGAAGAAAAGCTTGTGTGCAAAGTTTTAGAGCGATATCTCAAAAACTGGGAGAGTGGTTCACATATATGTAGGCAGACAGACAATGTGGACTAAATCGATTCAGCTCGACCTGTCCTTCTGGGCGTTACGAACTTCGTCCTAAACTTCATTTACCCATTTCCAGGTATAAAAAATATATATTTACCTTGCATATTGGTAAGATAGACCGGCGGTGGTGGCACATTTGTACCCTTTATGGGCGAAATGCAACCACTTTCTTGTATTTCCTGCTGCAGCACTGAGAGATAAGCCGAAATCACGCAGAATAAATCAAAGTCGACATCCAATGTTTCGTTCAACGAAGCTGTGGGTGTGTCGGAGCTGCACGATGATGCGGATGAGCTCTTCTTAGTGGCATGCTCGCTGCTGTTAAGCTCTGGCTGARCACCAGATTTTGTACTGCGTTTTTGTAGCGCTTCCAACGTTTCACGTTGTGTGGCGATTATCTTATTTAAATTGTCTAATTTAACTAGACTCTGAGCGTAACCTAAGTATAAGAGAGCGCGTTGACATTGTACAACTGTGATGGCGCCGTTCACGGGATTAACGCGATCGAAGGCGCCACGCACGACACTGTGTAGTGTGAAAATGAAAACAAAAAAAATATTTATTAAATATTATTAAATATAAAAATTTATTWTATTTTCTGGCATGTACTTACACTAAAATCGTTGCTATATTCGAGGGTGGATCTCTAATGCCAGCCAAAATGTCTTTGGTGCGCTGCAGACCCGATGGTATATCATCCATAACTGGTAGGCCACGACGTGTGACCAACTCCTTCAATATTAACTGATTGCGCCGGAGGTCAATGTATTCTCTGTTAAGTTTAGAAACAACAGATTAGTGTGTGTTTTTTGTGTTAATAAAGTCATCACATGTAATAGACTTACTGCTGGGATATTTGTTCATTAAGTATAGATTGATTACGTTTATATGGATGTAGTACCAACACCAGCTGCTTGCAGTTTTGACCCGCTATATGTGCCGCCTCAATGGCACCAGCAGAAGCGCGCGTCTCCGAATCCATAACGAAGAACAAAACACGCGCCTTCTCTTTGGCGCGATGCTCCAGCTCGATGAGATCAGGCGTCCAATCAGATACTTGCTGTAAATCGCAAAGAAGAGTGAAAAAATTATGAAAATATTAAATTTTCACATAAAACCAACAAAGCACTTACGGGATTATAGAAGGAAATGCCCAGTTCATTCAACGCTGGTATGGCGACATCGGCCCGCCAGGTGGTGGGATTACATGAACCGCCTAGGAATACCTCAACCGGTGCCGATGTGTCGCCCTTTGACAATTTTCGCTTACAGTCTTCGACATTACTTAAGGATTTTGTACTACGCAATTCGGTGCCCGTTGCTGTTGTTGCCGTGTGGCACAGCGTGCCATTATTAGCCTCAACAACACGACTGCTATTGTCATTGTTTTCCTGCTGTAGAGAGCTTAATAGATTTACCTTGTCACAAATCGACGGCGAGAAAGTCGATGTGCTGTTGAGGTTAGGAAAAATCATCATTATATTATAATATTAAAAATTATTTATTATTAAAAATTATTACTTTTTCTATTTTTTATTAAATAATTTTTTTTTTTGTGTTAACTCACCGAAAGCGTTTTAGATCGGCTGCCAGCACACAAAATTCACCAAAAGTGAGCCCATTCGATTGGCGRCTGCCTTTGCGTGCCAACAATTTGGCTGTTTGTAGCATTTCGGTGACTGGAAAGAAAAAATTATTGATTATTACTTACTTAAATTAGTTATGTTAATTAATTATTGATTAATTTTAACTAGATATTAATTATTTTAATTAGCTTTTACTTTGAATTAATCTTAATCATTTATTAATTATTTTGAATTAATTATTCATTTCATTTTAATTAATTAATTGGAATTAGCTTCAAGTTAGCTGAAATCTAAAATTATTTATTTTTTTTAAATAATTTTTTTCCCTATATTTAATGTTATAATTTGGATTTCATTCTATTCAACAATTTATGTATTTGTTTTATATATTTTTTTAAAAAGTTCAGTTTTTTTCTTTAAATGTTATTTGCTCATTTCTATACACAGTCGGGGTTTGCTACGAAGCTTCTATCACCCAGAAGAAAAGGTCAGAAAGCTCATCACAAAGATATATGTATGTATATGATAGCGAGCTGAGTCTATTAAACTATGTCGATCTCTCGGTCCGTCCAACTTTCCACGAGCTGTCTTTCAGTTTTTGAGCTATCRAACTGAAATTTCTACTTATTTGTCGGAACCACCGTTATGGGATCMCTATAGCATATAGCTGCCATACAAACTGAACTATCGGATTCGTTCCCACGGCAGTCGGATATAAGTAACCGGAACAGACTCCGATTATTAACCGGCCAAGAACTGCTGCATGTCGAATCTGAGCGTCAGCTTTATCGTGGCTGATCGTAACTCCAGCTTTTATAGCAGCGCCCCAGCTATTGTTTTGCTGCTCGCTTTAATATTAACTTCTGCTTCCTCAATATTTACATTGCTTCGGATATTTTTAAGGACCTCTGCGTAGCTATTGACATCTGCTGGCTTAAATGATCACCTTTCCTCTCTCTCCGTGGTACTTCTTGGTCATTTCGAGCAAAACTCTTTGTCATTGGCCGTCCTTTTCATTACGTGGTTGCGTTGTTTTCCGAGGTTCCACAGTGCATTTCGCGTGCCGCTTCAAGGTAATTGGCTCGGGGGTCGTGAAGCGCTGCTTAATTGTCTCGCCTTTTCTCCTTTCTGCGTTWAACCAGTTTCTACTGTAACTTTTAATTACGGTAAGGAATTCGTCTAGCTGTGCCGCTGGGTCATCCAAGCTGACATTCTTCTGCCATCGCCATCATTATCATTATTTGCGCGATACGCTTCCAGTTTTTTAAGGTTTTCTCTTTTGATCGGCTCATTTGGCTGTGAGTTTTGAGTAAGTTCGAAATTTTCAGTGATAGCAGCTGTGTTGCTCTGCTTTTCGGCTTGTTTTGCGAATCCTGCTTGTGCAGCTGAGCTGAAGTTTTTCTTAATCTCTGTTTGTTTTGGAGAGGTGGTTAAAATAGGGTTCTAAGTATCATACTACTCCTACAGAAGACGGTTCCATATTCCTCGTCTAGACCATCTTTGTTGTGTTGTTCTTCGGTGATGATAGC